TTACGTGCTCTCCGAGGCACGGGGGTGAAACACCGCCAACTTCCCAACTACGGGCTGTTACTGAGACTTAATATACAGAAAGACTCAATAACTAAACTTGGCCCGACCCGGGACTCGAACCCAGGACCTCCGGTGTGCAGCCGTACATGCTAGCCACTATACCACCGAGGCAGTTTAAATTTAACATAACATTAATACTAAGAGCAAACACAAACTTGTAATGCCTGTGACTCGTCTACATAGAGTCAGTAGTTCTTTTTATGGACAATGTATACGCTTGTACAACAGGATCCCAGAAAATGTTCAAAAGGCTTCTATCGCCAAATTAAAAAAAAATTTTAAAGAATGTTTGTGTGCTACAGGCTATTATACAATAAATGATTTCATAGAAGATGGCACACCTTGGAAATGATATGATCGCCTCCAGGCTACTTCGTTTTGATAGAAATATTGTAAATTATAATTTTACTTTAAAAAAAGATTATACTTTAAGAAAAGATATTGGTCCCGCTTAGTTTCTTTCACCAGTTCTTCTCAGGTCTGAGGCTTCTTCTTTCCGAACTGGTAGTAGACTCATGACGTTCAGTAAAAAATTATAATAATTTAATGCTGAATAAAATATTTTGATTTGATTTGATTTGAGCCAATAAATTGATCATCATAATTACTTGAGCTAGAATTAGTTGCGAAGGATGTTACTAGTAGGTGAGAAGTTTCTGATGGATTGTATATGAATGTGCCATCTGAATTCTGAATTATAATATTGTTAAATCTAATTTTATTATGATTAAGTATTTGTAACTTTTTCCACATATCCCCAGTAAGGTACCTGATGTTTTAGGTATTGATTGCCCCCCCCCCCCCAACGTGCGTTCACCTTGTCGTGGTGGGGGGGGGGGCTCAGTAGTGCCCGGCAATCCACCGGGCGCGAAGCCAAGAAACGCACAGGCAGGTGGCGCACTTCGGTGGGCGATGGGAGGTGGCCCTCTTCGGTGGGCGGTGTACCATGCGGGTTGCTCCTGGTACTTCTCTGATAGCAGAGTGGACCTTGGAGCAACCCCATGGTTGTTGTGGTCTGCTTCAGCAGACCTGTCGTCGGGGCGTCGTAGTTGAATGCGTAAGCGATCCTCCGATGCCCCATTAAGACGGGGGAAGGTTTTGTTGGGTTTTAGTGGGTAGTACTGGCTTTGCCGGTGAGTGCCACACCTCGTTCATAAATGCATTTCCCAACGTTAAAAAAAAGGTATTGATATGTTAGCTGCTGCCAGGATCATTTTTGTAAAATTTTCAACAATATTGTTAATCGGACAGTCAAAAGTAGAATCTAAACTTATTAAACTAGAAATATTTTCATTAATATCTTTGGTAAATTGTAACTATTTTATTTTATTGTAATTATTTTTATTATAACATCTATATTTAATATTATAAAGAGGCAGTTTGTTTGTTTGTTTATAAGTTGTTGGTTTATAAGGTGTTCGTTTGTTGGTTTGTTTGAACGCACTAATCTCAGGAACTACTTATTCGATTTGAATAATCTGAATATTCTGAGCATAAACAATAACCACAAGATCAAATCAGAATATTAAGGTTTTACCACAATTAGTAATTACTATTTAGGAGAAGTTGTTGAGAAATATTGTGCACAACATACATTAGTCATGAATAAACATCAGAAAAATCTATATTTCCTAAATATCTCGTTTACTCGTACCCTTATTTTCCAAAATATGTAGGTATATAAACACATATATACTATACATATATACATATAGGGCTATAGCAATTTTCAATTAATTATTTAAAAAAATACAGCATTTGTAATATTAAAAAATAACACAATATTATTTTTTTGTAAAATCAATAGATAACCAGTTAGTAGAAAATATACCCTAGTTTCAAACTGCTTTCTCTTTGCTCTGCTTCTTAGTATATTCAATGCAAAAAAGTAAAAAAAACTTTTTCTACCTAAACCGAATCCTTAATGTACTAGTGATAGTTCTTTTAAAATAGATTAAGCAGTTTTTCTTATTTTGGTTAAAAAACTACGTCAGCTTTGCCTAAATGCTATTTTCACAAGTGAAAGTTCCCATAGAATCGGATCAACTATTTTGAAAATTAACTGATAGAAAGAAGATAGACAAAAATTATTTAATGGTACCTTAGCTAGGATGAAGCAAATAATTATATGATATGAGATGAAAAGATAACACAATAAACACTTTAAAAAAACCGACTTCAAAAAAAGCACTTAAAGTAAAAAATATGTGATTGGTAGTTTTCATTTACTATAAATACCTAATCAAATATTTTCGAAGTCGGTGTGCTTTGCTTTGTATGGCTGGCACTGAATTCGAAAATATTTGATCAAGTATGTATAGTAAATTAACACCAAAAACTACTAATCAGTTAATTTTTACTTTTTAGTGCATTTTTTGAAGACAGTTTTTTTAGTTTATATTCTTCCCTTTTTAGTGTAGACATAGTAGTAGCAAAGTACGAAGAAATTATTTTAATAAAATATTCGCTTAAACCGTTGAAGTTATTTTGATGCTAATTTTTATACGAAGACTTCGTATAAAACTTCGACAACTAAAATTCGCTGTTATTAGTAACACTAAAAATTCTGGCTCTAAATCTGATTCTAAAATGTTAGGCTTGTCAAATCAAACAAAATAAGCCCAAACTTAAAGTATCTACTATTAGGCGTTGAAGAGTTCCACCTATCTACCTTACCATCAGATCAGGTCAACGATACCGAACCAATGCACTATCAACGGAATAGCAACACTTGCAAAGTTTCAAGTCAATATGACAATTAGAAGTAGGTTAAATTCATCATTAGCTATTTTAGGGGTGGTTTTTTTTTTTGAAATTTAATTGAGACCAATTTGGAAGAAACTTTCAAATAAAACAAAAATTGTCCAAATCGGTTTATAAATGACGGAGTTCTGAGGTAACAAACATAAAAAAAACATACAGCTGAATTGAGAACCTCCTCCTTTCTGAGGAAGTCAGTTGAAAATAAGAGAAGTAACTGAATATTTCAATTTAAATAGTTTGTTTACGGTTAAAATACGAATAGCGTACGTTAATGTCGTGCAATATACTTAATTGGTTTACACGTGCATGAACAGTTTTAAACGGTAGTAAATAATTGCGCTATTTAAAAGAGCAACTGTTGAGTTTCTCGCGGGCTCTTCTCAGCAGAACTGCTTTCCGAGCCGGTGCCGGTCCACTCATGGACAGACTACGTTGACGCTCTTGGAATTAAATTGACGATTCAAAATGATAAAAAAGTTTATTTTCAATTCTGTCACTGCTAAAATAAACTGCAAAATATTTGATTTACTGACTCAATAATAGACAGTACCAGGTATTTAGATATCCCGGGGGTATTTCCCTTTCACACTCGTATTAAGAATACATACTTCTATACTCGGGCTTAGTGACTTATTACACATAATCAAGTATTGATATTTCTTACTAAAAACTAAGTCTATTAAATAAAAGATAGCCTAATAGCCAAGGGTATTTTATAAATCTTTAATTGTGAAATAATTTTGTAAATCAAATTAGGAATTTTGTTTATTTAAACTCAAAAATTATAAGCAATTAATAAAAACAAAATCAAAATTGGTTTAATAAAAAAATACATAAATGAGAATCCAAAACAGGTATTGCTATTGTGCATTGTGTATGCACTGCACTTCCTTCTATACGATTTATTATAATTGTAGATTTGTAACGTAATATATTACTAATTATAATTCTCTGAATATAATGCTTTCCATAATAAATATTCATTGAATATAATTAATTCATTGTTACATATTGTTTGCATTTATTAGGGCTTTGTTGTTCGTAATTAATTCTCCTATTTAAATAGAAAAAATGTATATATAACGTTTAATTAGTTCTTTTACCCAATTATTAGAGTCAGTCGTTATAGTTTAACCGACTACAAAAAAAGATAAAATCCAAAATTTTAAAGATTTGAGAGTCAGTGTAAATATTTAGTTAAAAATCGTTACGCCCTCCTATTATCCTAAAACTGAATCTATACAAGTACCTACCAACTAACTACTTACTCTCGTTTGCCTCAAGTGTGTCCCCTGGGGTGTCTTTTCTATTAAAATTATTATGTAAACAGGTACCGCCACCTTTTGGCAATTCTTTTTACTAACAGTAGCTTATGTATTATTATCCAGGTTATAGTCTATTTTACTAAATTTTATCGAAAACCGTCCAGCATGATAAATAAATAAATATGTTGGGGCATTACACACAGAACAATCTAGTTCCATGGTAAGCTACGAGGCCTGTCTTATTTATACCAGATAGTTAATACACTACACATACCTATATAACATTAACCATGACTGGAGCACAAACATTCGTCCTCACACAAATGAATGCCCCCAGCGGGATTCGAACCCACGACCGCTAGCACAGCAAGTAGCGTCACTGCAAACTGAGCCAAACGTATCGTCAAACAAACATAGACACAAACAAAAATACACTCAAACCTCGCATTAATATATTTTAGTAGTAAGCCATTCAATTCTATTTACATTTACATTGTAAATTCAAAATATCGTTTAGCTTATGACCACCGAATATTTTATATTCCCAAATCGAATCCTAATAGCTAACATGCAAAGGTTAAATAAATTAAATTAACATACAAAAATTTAAATGAATGCATCCACTTTATATAAAACTAATCCACACTATAAAACTATGTTAGAAGAATTTCTGTTGTTGTTGTAGTCGTTCTCAAAGTATTCTTTTTAATCTAATAGGTGTTATATTTTATAGAGGTACATATAATATATTTCGTACTAAAATTTAGTAACAGTTATAACCGAATCCGAATTCTAAGCCTATGTTATAAAATGTAACAATAACAACAAAAATTACTTCATTCTTCTTTCTAGTCAATCTAACAGTGCAGTTAGTTTTATATAGATAAAAATATTTCGTTCGTGTTTCAGACAATGGCGCCCAATGACGCAAATAAAACTTTTGTGGAACCAGAGGTAAAAAGTGGAAAATCTGGAGATAGAGTCTTCATAACGGGAATGTCAGGGTTATATCCCGAATCCCATAACGTGAAGGAATTATCAAATATTTTATATAATAAGGTACGTTTATAGTTATGTTTATATAAATAGGCAAAGACAAAACAGATCCGTATGTTTTTCTCATCTTTTTATGAACAGATTTTCTTTTTTGTTTTTTTTTTTCATTTAATAGCCCTTGATGAGCTTTAGTGTTATCAATAAAATAAATTTTGAACACAATTATTTTTTTATGTAGATAGGTATATTTTATTTTTATACCCATACAACGTTTCCTCAAATTTTCAATAATGGTTATGATTGGATTGCGACCACTAGTATTTTATTGCTTTACATAATTAAAGTAAAATATTTACTTATTCGTCTTAACTATATAAGTATAAAAATAGTAAAAAGTGTTGTTGAAATTTTGAAATAAAGTACAATGTAGTAAATATTATTTTGAAATCAGTTAAATCTTAATTGTAGTTTGGATTTTAAATGAAAATACAATTTGTTAATTAACTTTTTAAAGTTTTAAATTTAGAACTGCTGTGACCAGTTGTGTACAGTACTGCTATACTTTTTATCTTATAAAATATTTTAAGACCCATAAAAAATCAAGTTTCTATGGAAACAAGTTAGAAATGAAACTTCGTTGGTTATTTATATTTAAAATCTGTAATATTATTTAATTCATAAAAACTTTTAATATAACATTCAGAAAAAAATATAATTGAAACGAATATTAGACAAAGAAGAGGGAATAATATTTTATCTCTTTCTATCTAGCTGGATTCTTATATCTATCGCATATACAGTAAGGGATGACCCCGAACGAAGAGAGGGTGAGCCGGTAGTTATAAACATTTTGTATAATTGAAAACAAACTAGGAATAAAAACTTTTTAACAAAAAAATAAAAACCGACTTCAAACAAAAGCACTAAAAAGTAAAAAATAAATGAGTGGTAATTTTCAATAACTGAGTTTTCATTTACTATACATACCTAATCAAATATTTTCGAAGTCGTTTATCGTTACGGTTTCTCGTGACGCGACCTAGAAATTTTACTTTCATGCGCGCAAAGAAGTTTTACTTCAATATAAAAACTTTAAAAAAAGTAGAACGACTTAAAAGTAGGCACTAACTAAACGAGGTGTTTCATTTACATTAGCTTCCATGTTATAGTTTTAAAACTGATGTCAATCAAAAAATAGAAAAATATGTTTATATATAAATACACTTAGTAATAATTGCACATGAAATTGTGTGTAGAAAAGCGGCAAGAAATTTATTAAAGAAAGTAAATAGTTCCAGTCCTGCTCTGAATCGCATTGCCAATTTTTAAGGCGATAAATGAGGCAATAAGAAAGCCAATTAAATGATGTATTAATGTTGACTAAGAATAAGTACTTATCACGTTTTGTTAACCGACAGATCAATCCTGTTAATGCGGAAAAATGTCGTTGGCAATATGACCATCCTGAAGTCGCGAAGTACACTGGGAAAGTGCCTGAGTTGTCGTCATTTGATGCACAATTTTTTAAAGTCCATTATCGCTTAGGAAACAATATGGACGCAATGGGACGTAAAATTTTAGAACAGGCCTACCAAGCCATTTTGATGCTGGTAAGTTTAATCTCTCCACGACAGCGGACACGCCGGCGTTACAGTAAACAATAGATTTCTTAGAAATTTAATTAATTTCTTAAAAATTGACCTGGACGTGTATTGAATGTATGTAAAGTCAATTTGTCATGCCTTTTGTTTTAATCATAATAAATATTTTGTTTTTAGACTTTATTTGGCACAAGTTTAGTATATGGGACGCGGCCCTGGAGAAGTGGGTGGTATTTTTGGATAGGGAAGGTAATAGAGAGTTCAAATATATAAAAACTATTTTGAGGAAACGAAGGAGTCAAAAGTTATGGAGACTTAAAGTTAGAACATTTCCATACATTTGAATACCTAAATAAGTCATTACAAAAGAAACCTTTAACGAATAGTAAATGTCCTTTTTCGTGTAAAATCCATATTCTCATAACAATTAAGGCTTTATTGTATTAATATTTTGATAATTTCACTAAAAACAATGATCTAAACAAATTACCTACTCTTAAATTTTTACAAAACTGTCAATTTCTGTTTTATATACCGCTTTCAGGACAACAAATTATCGCGTAATAATTAGGTAAGACTTATGAGTTATACTTATACAAAAAAATAATAGTGAAAATTGTCATTAGAATACTAAGATTTTAAAAAAGAAATATGTTATTTTCAATTGATGCATATTACATTTACGAGTTTTTATTTAATTTATGTAAAATATTGATTTCTATGATTAATTTATATTTAGCAAAAAATTTTTAAATCTTTATTAAATAAAACTATCTTTTCGGATTATTTCGCGAATTTATTTTGATTTTTGGTTCCCGACGTTTCGAATGCTTTACAGCATCCATGGTCACGGGAGAGACTGAGGTGTTACATGTCTTGAATGTATAGTTGTTACAGACAGCCTACCCACAATTAACAAAATGAAAAATGCACCAATTACATTACAATATTTTTAACTTTAAAAAAAAAATTTTAATTTTTTTTTACTTTAAAACATTTTTAACTTTAAAACATTATAAAAATGTTTTAAAGTTAAAAATATTGTAATGTAATTGGTGCATTTTTCATTTTGTTAATTGTGGGTAGGCTGTCTGTAACAACTATACATTCAAGACATGTAACACCTCAGTCTCTCCCGTGACCATGGATGCTGTAAAGCATTCGAAACGTCGGGAACCAAAAATCAAAATAAATCCGCGAAATAAACCGAAAAGATAGTTTTTATTTAATAATGTCAAACATTCGCGTAAATCTAAGAAAGTATTATTTTAAATCTTTATTTGATTTTTTTATGTGTGAATACTTTTCAGTATTTTTGGCGGGTAGTCACAAAATAGTTCGATAGTTTATGTGAATACGATCTGTATTCATTAAACGCGTTCAGGTTTACATATATTTTTTTTGCTCTTTTTCGTAGTAATTTTTTTTCATATTATTTTCTTTTCGTATACGCTCGTTTCTAGTTTTTGTTTTAATAGTATTAGTATTGTTTTAAGTGTACTCATATAATTTAAAAACGTAAGTAGACTATTTTTTAATCTAAATGTATTAATTATTTTCGATTAAGTGACAGTCCGACTTGGATAATTTAGGTTAAGAAGGCTAAGGCGGGAGCTACGCTACGCTTATTCTTTGTTTCTCGTTAGTTCTTTTTTTTTATTTCAAACCCAGATCCCCTGCTATTATAAGGGCTTTATATTAATTTTAAATTCGTTGATAGATCCGATTTGGATAATTTAGATTGAGAAGCCTAAGGCGGGAGCGAAGTGTAGTGCAGTAATGTCATAATTATGTATAGAAATGTTGTAACTTTAAGTCTCAATAACTTTTAACTCTTTCGTTTCCTCAAATAAATTTTATATATTTAGACTCCTCTATCAAAAAATACCACCCACTCCTCCAGAGGCCGCATCCCATATACTAAACTGCAGCACTTTATTTATAGTTGCTCCTGAGGAGTAGACATGATACTTTTTTTTCGCTTTTTCGTTTAATTTTAATTACATATATTTGTATTGGCTGAGTTGAAATAAATTAATAAAATAATAAATAGAGACAGTGGTAGCCAAGTGGTAACTCGCTCGCTTGGGAAACCGAGTGAAGCTGGTTCAAATCCCGAATCTCGCACCTTTGATATTTTCATGTGCAAATCATTTCTTACATGATTATCACTTGGAGAAAGGAAAACATCGTGAGGAAACCTGCATGTCTGAGAGAACCTAGCAAGTTTTCGAAAGACAAGTGAAGTCCGCTAATCCGCACTTGGATAGCGTGGTGGACTGTGGTCTGATTCACCTCTATTGAAGGGAAGCCCATGTCCAGCAGTGGGATGTTGAAAAGGGTTGAATGTATACATACAATAAAATAATATAATATGTATATTTGAAATTGTGCCCGTCCTTTGTAGGAATCAGCCCAGTGGAACTCTTCCGGAAAAAAGTAGGCGTATATGTTGGCAGTTGCTTTTCTGAAACCGAAAAAGCTTGTTTTTACGTCGCAAGTTCTAGAACAGGTTTTGGTATTGCAGGGTAGGTGTGGCTATGAACGCCGATCATTCATTTTCACTCTTTTCTTCAGTCAATTAAATAATTTAGTGGAATTTACCGATTTATAAATGTTGTTGTATGTAAGATTACTCATAACTCGGGTGTGTCTATGTGTAAAACCAAACTCCAAATACATCCTCATGAAGAAAGAACAAACACACAT